GCTTCTCTGACCACCCAAATGCCTCTCACCTGGGAGCTCTGTGAGCACATCAGATCTTCCACTGAGATTTTAGCATTTTTTCTTTTTAGGCTTAAATCACTTTAAGTTAAAATGCTGTCACTGTAGTGATGAAGGGTTATTGATGGTAAAATGTTCTTGTCTATAGCCAACCCTGTCTTCCTCACAACAATAATTCTACAAACACTGACAAAGAAACTCTCAAACCAGTTAATGGATGTAGTGAGTTTGACAACATAAACTATTATGTGGCAGATTCTGTGCCTTGCCAATCCACTGTACTGCCCTGAAAGGGAAAATTCCTAATGAGTAGTATCTCCCTATTAATGGTTTAATAATATGGCTGTGTAACAGTAAACACCTAACTCCCATTTAGAAATCACATGGAAAATGTGAGCATTAGAGCAATGTTCACTGTCAGTTATTACTGTCTAATTAGTCATCTGCAACATACCACAAGGTACTGAGTGGAATACTTGTAGTACTCCTTTGAAAAAGAAAAAAACTATTATTTCCAGAAGTGTGATTTGAATGCAGTGGTCAAACACTCCAAGTTTGATTCAGACTGTATTTATTTCTTATCTAGTGCGTCTGAGCTAACTACCTTGAGGCAGCAATATAAAAATCAGTTGCTGTGACTTGCTTCTTGAAAATTCGTTTTGCTCCTTCTTAAAATCTTGGCCTGCTTGACCTCAGCAGCCTTCACCAGTTTGAAAATGCAAGCTATAATCCTCTGTAGGGATTTAGTCAGGTGTCTATTACAGCATGTAATCTGTGATACAGCTTCCAATATTCACGCCGAAGAAAGGTTAAGCCCCCCTGTCTTTGTTCCCGAGTAAAAAAGTCCATGAGGTGTTAGCGCGGACAGGAAGCAGACTGAAAGAAGCAACATCTTCAATCAAGCTCTAAGCCTGTGTGTATGGCACAGAAGGATCTTTGTGATGCAGGCTTTGGCTCAGAGTCATCAGATGTTAACCCTTGAACGGGAGCTGCTGACTGCCCTGTTGATATTTAAAGGTTACACTACCACTGTCTCGATCCTAAATCCTTACCCAAGGGTCCTTGTTCCATTTGTCACCAAGCTGTGCCCACAGATAGGCCTGGTAAGACGCCTCAGTGGTCCAGCTGATGGCCGGCCAGCAGCACCCCTTGCACCATCCTGAACACCTCCATCAAAATTCAAGCTTGCTGACAGAGACCTTGTGTGCAAAAACAAACTATATGCTTGAGGGAAAAGTCTCCTGGGACCAGTCAGCAGCTTCTCAGATAACTCTGCTTTTTTCAGCCATGGCTGAGCAGGATCAAATCATGTGATACAGCCACGGCCCTGTGGCTGCGGGGTAGAGCCTGCAAACAGGCACTCCCAAAGCCCAACCGTCTGAACTGTGGTGGTACTGGTTTTGGCAATATTTTGAATTTCATACGTGAATAAAATAAAATAATAGCAACTTAATTTGACTGCCTGCAAGAAGCTATTTAATACCAATATCCAATTACTGTACAGCAAAACAGTGTTTTTTTTCTAGCTGGTAATGGTATAGAGAAACCTCAGAAACCTCTTATGTTAATTGGCAGTGAAGCATTTAGAATTATTTATTAGCGTTTAATAATTTAGAAATCTCTTAATGATGTAAATATCATTTTAAAAAGTTATAAGTATTTTTCACTTTGTCCAGCTGAAAAGCTGTTACTTGGAGAGCTTAAATTAAGATCTATTTCCAGCTGCCTGCTGGTCACAAAATTACTTATCGCTGCTAATGTTTTGGTTGTTTAGACGTTCCCACCACAGAATGTGCTTAGTTTTGACAAACTGGGGAAAGTTTTCCATGTTGTATTCATTGTACTGAAATAGAGGTCTTAAAGAGGATTATCTTAGAGATGTAGACATTAAAATACATAACTAATCTCAGTTAATTGAATTGTTTCATACTAACATGTATTAAAGAACTTCCATGTAGGCAGCTTTACACAGTTTTGGTAGTATAAATATGATTTAACATATAAATTACCTTTTAAGATTAATTAGAAACAGTTTAAAGCCAAGTTATGTGTAGAAAAATTGAGGATCTGATTCTAAGCCTCTGAAGCAATATTCAACCATTACAAAATTACATCACTGAATGCCATGCCAGCAGGCAGATGGGAACTTACCTATCATTATAATTTATCTCCCCATCCCTGTGCTAGAATTCAGGACATTTATTTTATCAGCTTATATTGGCTTATTTTTTTTTCAAATTTCCTCTCCAGAATATTGAACTCCACATGGGTTATTATGGTGTAATCAAATCATTTGTCCCTTTAATGAGAATTGAGTGCTACAGAATTAAAAGAATAATTTCGTTTTTGGTGGAAGAAATGCCCAAAGCCTTGTACTTGGAGTCTCGTTTGCAGTGCTTTCCTTACAGTATGGTTTGATAAGATCAGATTCAGATGTGGGGCAGTGCTGTCATCCTGGCCTGTGTCTCACTGTGCTCTGCCATTAAGTGGAGTAGCATCAACTTTCTCAAAAAGCTTTGTGCACACAGAGATACAGAGCACCATTCAGAAGCAAGCAAATGCCAATGTTTAGCATTCACTGTGCACAATCTACAATCTGGATTACCCACTCAGAATCACATAACATGCCTTCTACTCTACCCAGGGACTCAGAACAGCATTTAGGTTTGGTTTATAACATGAATTACAATGGCCTTACTGTCTGCTGTAGGAAACCAAAGACATCCCTAAGCAATGCTTAACAAGTGTCTTGCTATCCAGAACCATTTATTTACTGTTTCAATACCTGTGACCTTCCAGTGTTACGGCTTTTGCCAAAGAGATGACAGAAGATACGCATTATAGGTATGCAGACAGCTTCACGATGACAGCCACAGAAATGTCTGGATTTTTCTAGTAAACTTCAGAAAGGTGTGCCTCATGTAACTGAATATTTTCTCCAAAATTTGGATTTATATCTATTCAAAGTGTATGGAACCTTGTAGATCTCATAGTGTGCACATTTTTCCTAAGGAAAGTGCCTAAGTAAGGTGGCATTTCCTTGTATTCATATCTGCTATATGAAATTGAGCTAAGTAACAAAAAAGTCAGTCTTTTATCTATTCTGCCTGAAACTTATTTTGATTTTCACTGTTTTATTCAAAAGGAAGGAATAGGAATAGTAACCGTGAGCTTGAAATCAAGAAAACTGTGACAGGAACTTTTTATAGACATTTTGCAGAATATTCTCAGTTACAGTTCCGTGTTTTGAATCCTTCTGCTTAATGAGTACCATTCTGCTTTTCAAATAACTCTTTCTTATTTTTTTCTTAACTTTGAGTCCTGAAGAATTGTTGTAAATTTTAGGATTCAGCTGTATTAATGGGAAAGTGACATGAGAAAAATGTTTCCCTGTGCAGGGAAGAGGATTTGCTTGTGGGGAGGTGAAAGTAAGTGCCGAAGTCATTTTTCTTTGTGTTTCCTGGGAGTATGCCAAGGGGCAGAGCTGTGACCAAGGTGGAAACGTGTATGAAGCTCATTTCATATGCTGGATGGCATTGAACAGCCTCATTGCCCCGAGGACTCGAGGTAGAGAGAAGCAATAATTGTAATTGTAAGAAAAGAAAAGGTTGATCATCATACCAAGGCTTGTTCTATTATCAGGACAGGTGAGGAGAACTCTGATTAATGACAACCGCAGCTGCACTTATGTCCATATTCAGCACTAGTAGAAACAGACGTGTGCAACTTTTTCCCCAACAGTGCAGACCATCAGTGACAAAAAACATAACTTCTTCCACAATCCATACTGTACACAGAGAAAGATAGAGGGCAGCTATCGTTCTCCAAAGCAAATGCAGAATGAACAAGCAGCAAAATATTAATGTGCTGTTGAAAGTTTAAATTGGATGGACGTGATTCAGTGCAGCCTGCAGGGTCTGATATCTTGGCAACTACTGCAAGATACCCCAATCTGCAGACAAAATAGCCTTTGTGAAGGAGAGGAAGATTGTAGCTTGCAAGCTAATGCATCAAAAGGCCAGAGAGAGAATAATTCACTTTCACCTTGCTACAGAGGACAAGTAGCAGTAAAAGCTGTGCATTATTGGCAAGCTCTTTTTGTTGCTGTTTTTAACTCAATCCACAGTTCAGACCTCCAGCCACCTCGGCAGCATTCCAGCTGCAGCTGCTGACATCTCCCACCTAATCAAGTGGTGGATTATCTTGTCCTGATAAATTGGAGGCTGTGTTTCATGAAAAGTCTTTCCTGAAGTACTTTTCTACCCTGTAATAAGGTGGCAGAAGTCTGAATCAAACTCGTGGTGCACTAATTTTTCTAGTAGCTTCTGATGGAGAGTGTCAGTGTTTTAAGAAAGGACAGTGCTAGGCTGAAAATACAGTTAAGCATGTTTCATTTCACACCTGGGTGAAAGGGAACATGACGTTGTACTGTCTATTGTTTCATATGGAGTGCGTAGGGGCTATACTGCTGACTTCAATAATTTTCACCTAAAAATTGCTTCCTTTACGAATGGAGCTCTTGAGGAGCGTAATTGTTTTAAAAAGGAATTCTCTTGGCTGTTGAATCTTTCTAAGAGTCAGACTTACTAACCTGTTAGATACTTCTTTACTGTTCCTGGTCTTTTATGACTAGTCACTCCATTCCCACTCCTGCTAACAAAATCTTGCCACATAAGCCCAATACAAGGGTAAATAAACTAGTTTCTTTCTCTAAAATATACTGAGGAAAATATTTACAACACGTAAGTAAATGTACTATATATTTTTGTGTACATTTACCTTAATGTAAGATTAGGTGTAAGGTAAAATGTACAAGATAAATCTAGTCAAGATAAAGGTATTCCTTGCAAGCACTCATTTCTTCTTTCCCACTTTCACTCCTGAATTAAAAGCAGCAATTTTCATATGCCAAATACAAAACATCTTTATGTGTCACAGTCACTACACTGTTCCCCTTGTAAACTTGTTCTGCTCTTTTCTAGGGGAACCCCTACATGTGCAATAATGAATGTGATGCAAGTACCCAAGAACTGGCTCATCCTCCAGAATTGATGTTTGATCTTGAAGGAAGACATCCATCCACATTTTGGCAGTCCACAACTTGGAAGGATTATCCAAAGCCTCTTCATGTTAATATTACACTCTCCTGGAACAAAACCATTGAGCTGACAGATAACATAGTTATCACTTTTGAATCTGGCCGTCCAGACCAAATGATCCTGGAGAAATCCCTCGACTATGGACGAACATGGCAGCCCTACCAGTATTATGCCACAGACTGTTTAGATGCTTTCCACATGGATCCAAAATCAGTGAGGGATTTATCACAGCATACAGTCCTAGAAATCATTTGCACGGAAGAATACTCTACTGGATATATGACAAACAGTAAAATAATCCACTTTGAAATCAAAGATAGATTTGCTTTTTTTGCTGGACCTCGGCTTCATAATATGGCTTCTCTTTATGGCCAGCTTGACACAACCAAGAAATTAAGAGATTTCTTTACCATCACAGATCTGAGGATAAGATTGCTTAGACCAGCAACTGGAGAAATATATGTAGATGAGCAACACCTGGCACGGTATTTTTATGCCATCTCAGACATAAGGGTATATGGAAGGTAAGAGATTATAAACCTTTAGGAGCAAGCATATGAGTTTGTTTATAGAGGTTATATAAAAACTGTTTCCCCAAACATAACGAATAGCAACCAAAGTGTGTTCATTGGAAATTTGACTCAGTTGGTGCATTTTTGATAGTATTAGAAGTTTCTGACTCAATGGCACTAAATCATGGGCATTTGCTGTCACTAGCCTGCAAAGCCCTGAATGATTAAAGCATTTTCTTACATTGGCTCAGGATTTCAACCTGGCATTATGACACTTTTCAGGGACTCTCTTTCTGCTTTTATACAGTTGAAGCTTCATCTGTGGGCAGTTAACTGAGAAGAGGGATTCAATTTCATTATTTTTTCTAGGCCTTTAATGCAAGAATCAATTGATACAGCAGCCTTTGCATAGACTTTTTCCAGTAGGGCAAATTATATATAAACAATGAGGCAACAGAGATGAGAGTCCATTCCTTTTACTTTAATTAGCTCTGAAATGCCATGAAACTGAAGCAGAATGGAAAAACCAGCAGTGTTTTGGAGGGCATGAGACTGATCTGAATGCAGCAAAGATTATTACTCATCCAGGTTCAAGACAGATTGGCCCTCTGTGGCAAGCAAGGGCTGGTGTCAGGTGTCCTAGACTCAAAAATAATAAAAGCGCGGTGACATTCATATAGGGAAGTCTCCTTACCATCTCTAACTAGCAATTGACTGATGACCTCAAGCAGAAGGGTGATATTCTTAACATGTGTCTTGGATGCATATTTGTTCAGAAGAAACAAATGGTATCTTCTCTATTAGCTATTCACTCAACTCCCTAATGAACCCTTTTGTCTTTTTGTTTTGCTCTGTACCTTCAGAGAGTTCAAATCCTCCTTTTTATTTATTTATATATATTTTTAAGAGAAGCTAGATATCAAAACAAACAGGAAAGCTAATTTATCTTAGTAGGCTGAGGTATTTTTCCAGGCACAGGAACAAGTGAAAAATAATAGAGATATTAAATGTCTAATACACTGGTTGTTGTATCTTATCATTCTTTTCATGAGTTTACCATTTTCTCCCTCTTTTATACAAGCCTTTGAAGTTGTTAAGTACTTCCACGATATAAAAATGGATTGATAAAGTCAAAATAAAATCAAATTAATGTTATGCAATCTATTGAAAAATAGATGATCTGAATTTATATGAAAGAAGAATTACTGCCACATACAGACTTGAATGCATAAGGATTTCTGCAGGATCATAGATTTAGCATGTAGTTACCATGTTCTGCATCCAACCCATATTCAGGCTAAGTGGATCGTGGGCAACTTAAAATAGTTTGAAATAGTTTAGTAATACTAACTTCAGCATATCAAAATTGGCAAATATGTTCTACTTCATGTGTATCCTTTCTCCACGAGGCTACAATAAGTCATATATACAGAGAGATTAGACCAGAGATCAGGATTTTATGTTCCTTACACTTAAAGAAAATGTTGCTTCCCATTTGAAAACCCAGGAATGCTTCAATTAGACTATCAGTGTCTTGTCAAAAAAAGCATTTGAGGAGGGGAAAAAAATAAGAGTGCACCGCATGCAAATTAGAAACTGAAACCTTCCAAACATAGCTGGGGGACAGCAATCTTTTGACAAATTATCTATAAAAATGAAGTCTACCTGTACAGAGAGCTTATCTGATGCTGAAGCTTGTTGTCTAAATGCAATAGTAATTCAACTTATGTGTTAACAGAATTGTCTGATACGTAATACCGTCTCACTAAATTAGATCTGTGTGAATTCTTGTTACTCTTCTGCTAATAAGGACAGCTCTTTAGGGATTTGGGGTCCTTGCCTTCAACACATAGAGAGCCTTTCTCATTAAATAATTTGTGGGCTTGCTTATTGCTAAGGATGCATCCCCTGATTATTTGGTCCCACTGAGGAGTCTCTTGCAATAGGCCCCTGTCTGGCGAATTTGTGGTCTCCTACCAGAAACTCCACAGGCTCCCTCTGCCAGATCTCCAAACAAGCATTTTGGCCCCATGCCCTGGTATGGTGGCAGCAGGTGTGGTAATACAGACTCACAGAATTGTATGGATTGGAAGAGGGGAAGAAGCAACAGTTACAGGTTGTTTTGTGACCGTTTCTGATTCAGCTGAACTTTCCAGCCCTTGCACCTTAATCTAGGATATTAACATATTAACTGAACATTAATTTATATATATTTTTTTTTTTTGCCACAATTTTTCACATTTTTCACACACTTTGAGACTTAGGTAAAGATAGGATTGTCGATGAGCGGCTTGCTAGCCAAGGGGGCCATGGGCCCCTCGAACAGCTGTACGAGCAGGACAAGGTGGGAGGCTGTAAAGACATACAGATGGGAAAATACTAGTGTGTTCTCTGCAAGGACACCGTGTCCTTGAGGTCCGAAGTAAACAACCAAGGAGAAACTTGGGTCAGAGATAAAGAAGTATCTGTGGGGGGCGCCGTAGAGATATTTACTAAGACATGAAAGCACGTGTAACCTATCATCTTTGTGGGTTAGGAGTTGTTACGGGGTGGTTAACCAATCAGTTTGTGCCAAGTTTGCTAAAGTGGTTATAAATATAGGCTTGCTTTAACAGTAGAGTTGGAGTTTTCTTATGCACTCATATTGAGTTTCTGTCATCACTCCCCACGTGTCTGGACTAGCGAACTGACTAAATCCCGTGACCAGCCCTGCCGTTCTGCAGCATAGGATATGCAGGATTCCATGAGGATGGGATGGATACAAAGAGATGATACCTAAAAGCTTGTTGCTAGCAGACACGTTTGGAAGCTAGTCCCTTTGTTAAAAATATAACCTGTAAATGTTTAAATAAAGTTAAAATCACCAAAGCTTAAAATAGCATGTTCCTAAAGGCAGCCTAAAATTTGTTTCATGCTCTATTTTGAGAATCAATACCGATGGAAAATATCTATCTTAAAGATGCCAAATTTAATATACAAAATGCTGAAATGTCTAATGCTTCACAATGAATTAAAGACAGGAGATTTTCGCACTTAATATATGGTTTGTTTCATCACTGCTTTGCAGTTTGGTGTAAAATAAGCCTGATGTATCAGAGATGAAAGCCGGTGTGTTCTTAATGGGTGCTTTACCTCCTCTATTACTACCTGTTTGTTCATCTTCAGTTTACCTCTTTCATTGTGTGTTTACTAAGATGATGAAAAAAAAAGGAAACCTGGCTGCCTGGCTGTTAGCAATTTCAGCAACCCCATTGTGCTCATATTATTCAAGAAACCTAATAATCCACATGAACTAATTCTGACTTACTGATGGCCTGCTTCACTAAATCAGAGTGATTTTTTCTAGTGAATAATGGACGATGTAGTGTGCCAGTACCTTAATTAAAGATAGCCTCTCTTAGTCTTGATCTCATTTTAATTTACAGGGTAATACTACAATAATATCACTAATGGAAGGTACATTAAAGGGCATCAAGTAGCATTAACTGTATTAAATTATGGCACTTGTGTTAATTAACTGCTGAAGCAAGATGGTCCTAACGGCTAGAAAGGTCGATTAATGCATAAATAAAGTCTTCTGGGATGGGAAATTAGGAAAGAGTAGACAAGTCTCTGTCCTGTAGCAGAGAATCAAAGGTACCCCATGTGATAACCTCAGGAAGGTTTCTCTCCTTTCACTGCTTGAGGAAGTGGATGTGCAGTGGGCTCTGCAGATCCAACATACCATGAGCCCTGACAGTAAGCACAAAGCACACAGTGCTTTTCTTTTCTTTTTTTTTTTTTTTTTTTTTTTTTTGGTAGAATTTCACTAAAGTGCTGATAATAGTTCCTTTGAAGTCAAGCAAAAGGTTCCTAGCAGATTTTAGATCTGACTGCTAAAGGTTTAGCCAGATTCATTCCAAAATATTTTTTGTTCAACTTTTGTGTTGTCAATAATATGCACATTTTTACACTGCACACTAACTATAATTTTAGACAATAGTAAATACATATATATATATATATATATATATATATCCCCAGTGGTTATAGAATGACTGACTAGCTAAATCAAAGAAAAATCTCATCCCACATTGTTCTTTTGTGATTAGTTTTTGATCTAAGAGCAAAGAATTTCTTTCTGACACTAGAGTACTCAGCCTCTATACAATGTTATTAAGCCCTTTCGAATTTATTTTTATATTCTTCTTGCCTTGAAGCTTCTTTATTTAAGCTCCAGAATTTTCTGACCCTGCCTCAGCTACACTTGCAGTTCCAGCAGTAACAGAAACCTCTAAGTTGCAGTAGACATGTGAAAAATATCCTCTGTTTTAACAGTTACTTGCTCTCACATTATCTCTTCCAAATTTAATCCATCTCAGAATCTGACCAAATTGCACTTGGGGAAGGCATACTTGCTACTCTGTGGCTTGGGGTTTTTTGCCTTTTTTGTTATCCTGCCCTGCAGACCCCGTAGCACTGGCTTGCTGGTGCTACAACGCTCATGCTGCAGAGTGCCCCCCAGCTTGGGTGCCAGACCCTGGGTTCTTCCTCACATGGATGGATCAATGGGATTATATATGGGGTGTTATTCTGGCATGCACAAGACAGCACTAAAAAAATATCCCTCTGTGATGTACCCCAAAGCAGAACTTTGCTCAGTGGAAATAGGAGTACAAAATTGCGCTTTACTTTATTTATAGGGAAATGTTTTCATTAACATTCAGCTCAAAACCTGACAATCAAAGTAAAGATAAGTTGGCATTAAACTTTAAAGGGGACAGATAAATACCATTCATATTTCAACTATATATTTACTGTACTTGAATACTCTTTTGATTTACAAGAACACTTCACAAGAAGGTTATTTTCACTAGTACTTGGAGTAATTCTAGCAATTTCTCCAATTTAATTATAAACTCATTAGAGAATAAGAGAGAAAAAAACTTGTGTATTTAAGAGCATGTCAATCTACCCTTAACTCCCAAGTGCAATTAGCTTTTTAAATTTATCTACTGTAATATGTCAGCAAG